TATGGTTTATCATCGTTTCAAGCATGCTCCTGCGTCATCTACTTACTCCAAGGTAATGTTTCAGTATTGTCTCCAATACGATAATTCTAGCTCGGTAGCAAGTGATGTATGACATTATCACCACTTTACCAAAAGCTAGTGCTCATGAGATTAATACAATCCACCATCTATTACCTCGAATCAAGCGTGTGAATTCACCCCAAGTCCAATTCGTCATGCTTGCTCGCATTATAAAATAATCATATAAATAGAGAGAGAGGAAATTCATTCGTGGTCATTGAAGTTACGGCAAAATCTCAATTGAACAACTGAAATTCAATTTAGTTTCAAATATCACTACTTTTGATGTCAATACATTTTTATAATAGACTTGCTACGACAAGTAATTTATTGCGCTTACCTTTCCTTTGCTTCACGTTGTAGTTTCTTCTCTAAAATTTCATATGCATTTTCAAATTATAATCTTTCATTCAACTTTTTTATTTCAATTACTTGGCTATTTATTATTCGGTTCTTGTAGGATAAAATTTTCCTTTTAATTTGAATTATTGTTTCAATTTTATTCTTCACATTTTTGGTCAAATCCTATTAGCAACTAAAAAGGAAAGAAAAAAAATGTTTGTTGTGGACAAAGACAAATATATTTTATGTCAAATTGATGTTTACAAGAATGATTATTTATGTCATTTTAATTATTTAGGGCTATGTTAGTAAAATTGTGCACTAAAAAAGCATGGTGATAATATAATTACCCTTCCAAAAATCAAAATAAGAAATTATTTATTTTATTGACTAAAGTAAGACTATTAGAGAAAGCAATGTATTCATTTTTATTATTTGCGCTATTAATTCCAATTAAGGCTTCTTTCTTCTTCTTTTTTTCTTTATAACATTTAAGTCCCTAACTTTTCTATGCATTCATTTTCAACAATTTTTCATTAATTAGCACATATGTCTCGAATAATGATATCCATCGAAATATTTCTCTGGGAAAATATTAAGTAACTTATTTGCTCGATAGTTTAAAAAAAAATAACAAACGCAACAAAATATTTCCCCCACATTTTAAGCTTGTAAGCATAATATTTTGACATAAATCATGATTAGTAAGGACGAGAAATCTTAATTAATGAATATCCAAGATAAGAATTTAACGAAAAATACTTGAAAGATATAATTATTACAATGAATAAAGGTTGAGAAGCTTGAAGATAATTAAAATGTGGTGCAAAAGATAAAAAATTGTAATGTATTATAATCAATGATAGATACGGAGAAAAAGTATGAAGTGACCAAAATATCCTTATTATTAGTTTCATCAAGATCTTTTTTCCCCTTGTATTAAATTTTCCGAGCTTTTTCTTACATGTAATTGACCATTCGAATTACACCATGTTGGATTATACAACTTTTCAAACTTGGTAGAATACAAAATTTAATTTTGAAAAAACTGAACTTGTAAATCTTGATGGAATTTATACAATAATGTTGGTCCCAGAGTTCACAAATAACACAAAATAAAGCTAATAAATCGCGAGAAAATAAAGAACACAAGGATTTTTTCACCCAAAGGGCCTGAATGCGCAGCCTTATGCCTACTCATCCGTTGAGCATCCACACAAAGGGGTAATGCTCTAATTCCACTAAAATCACCAAGAAGAATTACAATGTATGAATTTCTTTACGATTTCTCTTGCCTCAAATAACTCAGAATATACACAATCTCACAATTTATATATCAAGTGCAGTGCTGCCTTAGCACTAAGTAATATATAGAGATTGAACAAGAAATTAATAAGATTTACAAACAATCGCAGAAAAGAGATGAACCCTATCACACAGAGAGAAAACCACCCAAAAGGCACTGAACTGTTCCAACCCAAATGAAGCTTCGAGAATGACTTAAAGCAGAGAGATCAAGAGTCAATCATCAGACGGTGGAGATCTGGCCAAGTGTAGGGCCAGATCATAAGACCAAGAAAACTAATAAAGGCGTGTAGGATGCAAACATGTTTTATCTACCAAGTAATAACATTGGGCCACGGATCCGGTTCTAACACATGCTCAATTACCAACAGACTGGACCAAGAATTTGAGGCAGCCCAAAACCTATAACAAATAATTTGAGATTTACCTACATTTTGTAAGCAAACTATTTGTAGAATCTATGAATTGATGGATAAATTTTACTTTTATGAATTGTAACCCCTCACTTCTACTCGGGCAATAGATCTTCACCAACTATTCAAACAAGATAAATTATTGTACAAACTTAGCATTTCTATACTCTCTTGCTGGACTTGTTCTAACCGGTAAATTTTATGAGC